ATGGGCCTCAGATTAATAAACTTGTACTTCCATTGAGAGAGAGTCAAGGTTATCACTGCTTCTCTCTAAACAAATTCTAAAACCCACGCACGGTAACCTTTGAAATTTTAACAAAGCATCACCAGGCTTGCACTGATTGCTTCAGTTTACATGCCACTGGTCATAGAACTTTGAACTGGCCATTTTTGTTTGGAAAATTTGAAGATACTGTATCTCTTTAAGTTAAACAAACCCTTGGACATACACACATGCTGTTTAATGAGTGCTGTCCCCTGCAAATGGAAAATTGCCGTGGTAAGGAATTGAGTGGAATAGTGCAAACAAACTAGAATAGTCCCCAGGCTGAAAAAATATTCAAATTTCCTAACTTTTCTCTCACTTACACTTTGTATGAAAAAAACATCTTTGCCTCTCTATTTTACTCTTCAAGAGAATGATCCTATATGATCTGGAGTTATAGCTATTAGAACTTAACTTTAAAGTATCTTATTCAGATATCATAAAATCTCATTCTTCTTGCTTCACAATATCCTTTATTCAAACACAGGTGTTTCTAATTCTAAGCAAATTTCTGGCAGTGTAATTCTATTTTTCTGTTGAATTTCATGAAAATATCAAAGGCACATTTTATAGGAAAAATATAACCCCTTGATAAACTAAAGCTACATTTAATTCTATAGCAAAGAAAGTTTAAACTATTTTATTAAATAAATGAAATTAATTACCCACAAACATTGACAAAAATGTTCAGAATATTAACAATATTATTGGCCTATAATTATTGCATCTTGGAATACAAATGCCAAAGAGAAAATAAGCAGGTGTGTTAAACTCTAACAGTATTCTTTTATTGAGGTTTTAAACATGTCTGCTTTTGCTTTTCGCCTAAGTTTTTCTACTGTTTCAGGCTAGGCTATAAGTGGGTAGGGGTTAGAATAAATTCAAGTATTAACAATGTAAAAAAATCACCCAGTCCAAGCCCTCTGATGACACTTGGCCAATCATAGTGACAATTCAGTGAACTACTCTTACTGCCTTTTCATTTCCTAAACTTTAACTCAATCACGATGAGCAAAGATATGATATGAAATTTGAAGTTCCACCTACACAACCATTTGATATAGAGCAAGTTGTGTGACTGGCCTGTGATGTGACAGGAGCAGAAACTCAGTGGAAGGTCCTTCCCTCTACATCTCAATCTAACAGAAGCACCCTCAAAACACGTTGTTCAAATGCATACATTTTTCATGCTGCTTACCTGCAGTAAAGAGCATTTTAAAAGTATTTCAATTTTAACTCCATTGGGTGGAGAACACCTTATCCAGTTTACTACAGGAACACCACTCTCAATAGTCTTATACATAGCCTAATTCATGCTTTTGCGTCATATCTGTCTAGTCTTGGTAGACAGTTGATTTTCTAATCCCTGTTTTAAGCTGGCTGGTATTCCATCAGAGCAAAGAGAAATGCAGGAAGATCCTCTTTTATTATAACTAAAGAGAAAATTGTTTTAAAATCTAGAAACATTTACAATTTTATAATTCCTCTCCCCAAAATAAAACAAACGAACAAACAACAAAATTAAAAACAGCATAGTCAAACAGACCAGGGGAGTGTAAGGAAACCCGGAGCTCTGCAAGCCTCACTCCTACTCTGGCAAAAAGTCTTAGGGGTCCAGGGTGCCTGGGTAGTAGCAGAGGCAGGCCTCTCTACGCATAACAGAATGATACAAAATGGGAAGTCTTGAGGCCTCCCACCCCTGTAAGGCACATGAATCAATATGTAGAGATCAATTCTTGACATATGGATCAACGGAAAAGAACAGAGAGCCCAGAAATAAACCCACAAACTGTTGGTCAATTAATCTTTGACAAAGGAGGCAAGAACTTACAATGGAGTAAAGACAGTCTCTTCAGCAAATGGTGTGGGGAAAATTGGACAGCTATATGTAAATAAATGAAGTTAGAATACTCCCTCACATCATACACAAAAATAAACTCAAAATAG